AAAAATGAAAAGAAATTATTAAATACTTCTTGGTGAGGCATCATACAGCTCACTGCTTTGCTCTTGACAGCCATTTTTAAACTGGACGTTTCAAGATAAGTAACTGTAGGCATAGCAGAAAGTGGGGAAGACTAATTTAGGGAGATGTAGGGGACGTGTGATGGGAAGAAAATAAAATAGTGCATTAAAAGCATGGGAGAAGTTAAGACATAATACAGAAAGTGAAGGACTGAAGATGAATAATATCTGTTCCGAGAGGCAGTGAGAGAACAATTCCTCTCCATGAAGCCCAATGTGGTTGAATCATTGGATCCCTCTTTCCCTCTTCACCTCCCCCCTCATCTTTCTTTACTGCTGGCTGTTCACTGCAGGACCCCACGCATGCAAACTAAGCACACACAGACACTGGGCTGTACATGCAGCCCTCCCACCCTCCTTTAGTTATGTGTAGCCACGTGAAGTAGAGATATGGATGCTATTTCTAATCTTGGTCCATAAAAATGCTCCCATGCATGATCTACCATGTTCTTTCCATTTTGTGCTGAGTTTGGAATCCATAACAACACCACAGAGTAAGATGTAAGGAACCAAGGCCTGTGGATCAGAGTTGCCTACACATCATAGTTTTGAATTTTAGGAAATAGCCATGAACTTCTTTTATGGTAAATCTTTGTGGCTTTGGAGTTTGTTGTTTGTACCAATTGGTTGTATCTAGAAACAATCCTGATGTTCAGAAATATTAGGTGGCTGCTAGCTGTTACATGACAAATCTGTGTACAGTCTACTCAAACAAGATGAGACAGGAGGGCAATGATTTGGATCACTTGTTGGAAAGGATTTTATGGACCTTTTTATGCTGACTAAGGAAATATCAACATTCTATATACTAGAATAGTTTTGAGATGAGCTAGAAGCAATAACATTTAGTGGGAGAGAGTTGTAATAACCTCTTTGGAAGGAAATCGTAATCCTGGTTGAGGTAGCAGGGATAAATTGGAGACCATGTAGGGGAGGTAAGGAAACATCCACAGGATTATGGACTATGCAAAGAGAATGAGAAAAAGTGCGGTATAATTTTATCTATACCCTTAACTCTTAGCATCTTAGCACAGAAATGCAAACAAATGACTATATAGGTTTTTCTTTATGAAAAGGGCATTGATAGAAAGGCAAAGAAAATAGCAAGTTAATTTATTACACTATAATATATTTATTTGAAGCAAGTCAGTATATTATTATTATTATTGTTATTATTATTACTTTGCAGTACTGGGGATCAAACTGAGGACCTTGTGCTTGCCAGAAAGGCATTTAAGCCTGTGAGCTATCTCCCTGACCCTCTGAAGCAAGTCAGTTTATATTAAGTGCCTACTATGTTCAGCTCCTAGGATTAGAACAATGACAAAGAATATGTCAAGTAGGATGATCAGAGAAGATACTGACTTTGCCTGCATTTTGTCTCTAAATTTAACCCCTACAGTTGATTTCTCTTATGCATCAGTTGATACCTTGCATCATCAACCCAATGCGTTCATTCTACTTACTGCTTTAAGACAACAGTGATGCTAGAAATAAAATGTGGGTTTTCAAAGATAATATGATAAATATGATAATAGAATTAGTTAATAGAATAGGACAACTTATTTGCTAAATTAGAAAGCTACATGCAAAAATTTGTTTTCAATTTGGAGCTTAATCATCAACCATAAATGATATCTAAGTAGACTAATGAATTAAATACAGAAGGAGTGACAATGGACAGAGAGGCAGACAGACAAACATATAGGAGCACATTTTAAGAGGAAAAATCAGGACAATCTTTTTTGTGTAATATTAGCTATGTATAATAATCAACCAACTATAAACACTGGAATACACAAAAGCTCTCCAAGAGAATTCACTATAAATCATCACAAAACTGTAGAGGTGGAATGATGGACTGCTTAAAAATTTTCATTGTGCTCTTACACATTTCCCAACCATGAATATAGTTTACTTGAATTATTAGAACAAAAGCTGTCCTCACAAATACTAACTGAGCTAGCACTGATAGGTTAAGTATTTGGAGCATTTGTTTATTTATTTAATTTTTTTGGGGCCTCTCAGGATGCCTTCAGGGCAGGTCTGGTTTGGCTTGAGGATGAGGGGATCGAACCACAGCATACTGAGCCTGGCTGTTTTGTTTCAGCAGGCACTTAAACTCCTGAGCTAATGGGCGGGCCCCCATTTGGAGCATTTATTGTGTTCCTGGTATTAGTCTAAATGCTTTCTACATATCATTCATCTCATCATCTCAGCAGCCCTATCGGGGAGGGATTCTTACTCTCTCTACTTTACAGATGAAGCGCAGGCAGGGGCCCAGAGACACCAGTGTGGGAGTCGTGAGCTGGATTCAAGCCCTCGGAGTGTGGCTCCCTGGTAATCTCTTAGTCACTATGCAGGTTATTGACTGAAATAAATGGCTGTGCTTCCATTAATTCAAGCCAACTGAATAATTTTGTAGTCTTCACACTTACCACCACTTTAATAATGAGACAGTAAATCTAGTATTAGAGCAGTCTGATTTGGATGGCGGGCAACACAAAACACCTCTTGTCACTTTTAACCAAGTAAAGCATTACTGTAAATAAATGTGTAACTTCACTTGAGGTGTCTCCTTCTAGGCAATCCCAGGTTTACCTCTTTCTTAAGGGCCTCCTCTTCAATCAGTTGATATGAATTAGAAATGCCCTTAATTTTAATCCATACAAACATGCCAGCAACAGGTACATGCCATTCTGCTAAACCTACACACAAAACAAAATGTGCATCAGATTTATGGTTCCTTGACATAATGCAGAGATTATAAACTAGCACTTCCAAAACAGTTCCTCCAGGGATAACATTTTTAACAACATTATTTTATGAGCTCTGCGAATTGGTGTTCTAGGCTTATTTTGAGGAGTCAGTGTGTGTGGGTCAGAAGGAGCAAGGAGACCAAAGAGCCCGTGTGAAGAATTACAGCTAGAGTCGATCTCAGTGGAGAACAAGAAGTATGGTGTCTTCCTCTCTTTCAAATAGTTAGAGCCACCCCTAAGGCCAGTGTGACTGCTTCAGTTTTAAAAGACAATTCTTCAAGTTCTGCTGTGGTCTTCTGGTGCTTCAATTAATCCTATCATTGATGCAATAGTTTTGAAGTTCATTGTATTAGTTTTTGTAAGAATGTAATTAATTATGAAGAAGTGCTTAAAATTCAAGAATTCCATATGTATTCCTGAGATTTATGTTCCCTTGAGTATTAAGCTAGAGGAATAAAAAAGAAGGCATATTTACTTTGATATTATTTATAATTACTAAGATCCTGTTCTGTGGGCACATTTTCTTCATCACTATTATGCAAAATGAGGGAATAGCACTCTTATTAAACAGATGATAATGCAGTATTTTTATAACATTACAGGGGATTAGTTGTAACAGATAAGGAACTGACAGTTTAAGTATATTATTATTCACATAATGGGCATTTAAATATATATTTAAATATATTTAAAAGCACATAATTCTTCTGACTGTTTTCCATGTTAGAAAGTAAGAAATTTTGAAATTAAATTGCCAATACCTAATGTTAGATAGATAAATGTGTTTAATGACTAGAAGAGAGAGAATTTGTAATGAGAGATCTGCTTCAGACTATACTGTCTTCATATAGATTAGTTAGAAATTGATCATACTATATGGGACAAAATTTTGACACAAATAAAAATTTTGAAGATGGCTGATATCTAGCTTTAAGTAAGCTACTGCTGTGTAGCTTTTAGATTACTTGATGTTTTTAAAATAAGAACCACCAATTTTTCCTAGACATAGCAGAGATGGGTAGAAATGTGCTGGTGTTTCTAGGGTGCTACTTGTGAGATTCTTTGTGGAGAGATGTTTCCTGGACAAGAATACTCCAGGATTGGCATTTCTTTCCTATTAGTACTGTCAATAATAGAAGGATTTCTTGTTTTCTTTTTGGCTGGTTCAGGCTGCCTTAAGCCCAGGTCTGGTGTGGCATGTGATGCTGGGGATCCAACCACAGTCCCTTGCCCCTGACTGACTTTGCTCAAGAAGGCGCTTTACACAACTGAGCTAACCACCAGCCCCCTGATTGTCAATAATATGCAATATGTACACTCACTTTTCTAGGTGTTCTTGTGTCTCACAAGCACAGATTATATTCCACTCACCACTTAACCACTTCTCTGCAGCTGCCAATATGGCGTCCCTTTTGTTCTGATAGAAATCGATAACCCTAGAAGAAGAGAACAATGACAAAGATACATTCATATAGTGACTGCACAAGCAAAATGAGCTCTGAACACAAGCTCTAAGAATTTGATTTTTCTCTCAATCAAAATGTTGAGTGCTTGAGAGGTGGCAGGAACACAAGAGAGTATTTGTGTTGACTTGTCGAATGATCACCTTCTATCATTTTTACTAGTGTGTTTGTTCTTTTATTGTGTACTCATGAAAAATAAAAATGAATAGAGCTAAAAATGGCATTGCTATGTGAGACATACAACTTAGAAACAGAAGGATTGATTTTTGTTGTTTCGAATAATGACTGCCATTTGCAAGGTAGGAGAATCCATAGGATTACATACGGTACCATTGCAATGCTGGATCTCTGGCCTGGGAAGGAGGGCAACCGTGGTCTCCTTGATTCTCCATGGCCCAGGAGGCCCCACACTTACACCACCCAGCACTTCACAACTTGTACTTTTACTGACTTACTCATCAGTATATCAGGCAATTCCTGGGTCACGTATCCCTCAGTGAAAAAATTATTAAATAGAATGCATGTATGTAGCCATCCTAACCTGGAAGGACTCGCAGGTTACCTAGGCGCTGCCTTGGCTCTGCTTTCAGGGCATACTTTGGGTGCCCCTGAGAAGACTTTTGGGGTGACGGAAAAGATTGTAACATCAATAGGCTCTTGACATCTAATATACTGTTCCTATTGTCTAGCTTAGTATATTTAGAAAGCAAGAATACTAAATCAACACTCTGGTGCAGGGTGCTTGGTTTCTGGGGCTTCTATTTTGCTCATAAATATTTTAATAAAAGTTTGATACCTGTCCACGTGTGCCAGGAACCCTTCTTCTCCCCACTGCTGTAGAAACTGTAGTATCATGATCCAAATGAGGGAACAGGAGCTCTGTCACAGTTAATTTCCTGAAAATATCTGTGTTTGCCAAACGTAGACATAAATCACCCCAGACTACCATTAAAAATAGATAATGTGTGCTGATGCTAGCTTCTGGCACTCGTTGACTTACAACAATTTTTAATAAGCATAATAAAAGCAGTATTAAAAATAACAAATATTTCTATGGAATTCATGATTTACCAGATACTACGGAAACATATTTGTTGGTTTTGACAAATCTAATCTTTCCAGTAACGTAATTATTATGCAGGTTATTTCTATTATACTGATAAGGAAATCAAGGAACAAGGGTTAATTTTTTTGTTGTCTATTAACTATTTACACAGTTTAGATTTGAAGTCAGCTCCATAGCCAAGACATTTATTGCAGGTCTATACTGCCTCAACCAGGAGTTGCTCTGCCTGGTGTGACATCCGCAGCCTAAAATAGAAATGGTTAGTATCTGAAGTCCTACATAATATTTGAAGATTTTCTATTTGAAACAAGTTCTATATAGTATACATGCATATGGAGCTTTTCCTGAGGACAGATATTAAAAAATAGAGGAAAAGTCCTAATTTGGTAAAGCATGGGGATAGTTAAACTTTATGGAATGTACAAAATCTAATTTACTGTAAGGGCAAACTTTTCTATTCATTTTTAGATGACATACAACAATTCTAGCCTTAAACTCTAATTCCAAAGATTATTATAATAATTTCCAAATCCAGTAATTTCTCAAAAAGTGAGAAAATTTGTATAGTCTTGGAGATTAATTTTACTTTAATTACAAATTTTCCCCCAAACAAGACCTATGTGGAAATGCAAGCTCCAGCATAGTTTCAGAAAAGACCGCTCCTGAATATGAGCCCTATGCTATCTTTTGGAGTAAAACTAGGGCTCATTTCAGCATCTGTCTTCTCAAGTCTTGCTAGAACCTGTTTTCCAGGGAAGCCTTATTTTCAGGGAGATACGGTTCTAATGCATTGCGGCTCCTGTCCGCAGGTGTGGCTGATGTCGTGCATATGTAATCAGTCGCTACACACATTGAGACGCCTTGCACTTTACGTAGGGTCCGAGACACTGCAGATTAAGTTAGTAGTGCTTCACCAAATTCAGTTCGGTTCCACAAAGTAACACCTTGGTGTCCTCACATGGACACAAGATAAGATTCTCAATGAGTTTGGCTTATGCTGCAAAAGAGCACTAGGTTAGCACAGGTCATTTGCCTTTTAGTGCAGTCACTTTTGGGATCTGGTCTTCTAATTCAGCCTGTCTTGGAACTGGAGGTTCAGCACTGTTGAGTTTTTTTTTTTTCTTTGCTGCTTTAACTTAACCCAATTCATCAGGGTGCACTTTCTAGTTTGATTTGATTATTGCAAAGCATCATTTCATAAATCGGGCTTACCTGGGCAAAAGTGCAGGGGTGCAATGATGAGACTTGTGTGTGTAAAACAATTCTCTCTGTTAGTGGTTTGGGGCCAGTTACAAACCATAGCCTCAACCTGCACAGAAAGAGAAAAGACTTAAGAGCCATCCATATTAATGTGTCACTTCACTGTCTTTATTATGAGGTACATTTTGATCTGGGGTGAGTAGACCTAGATGATTAAAACATTACAATAAAGCCAAGTACTTATTTCACACAAAATATAAGTGTACATTGGTGGGATAATGTAAGTGAAAATATTTAAAATAAGTTCTTTCATAATGATACTAAAATCCTGGCCAGTTCTACTAAACCTTTAGGGACCAAATTTTAAGTTACTGGAGGTTAATAAAGAGAGAAGTGGTTTATTAACATTAATAAATGTTAAGTTGTTTAATTTGAACTTCAAGATTTTTTTATTAATGGAATTTGACCCATGTCTTTGCACTGAGCTGTATTTCCAGTCCTTTCTAAGGTTATATTTCTAAATAGAGACTCACTAAGTGGCTAAGTTGTGCAGGTTGGGAGCCAGCATGTGATTCGCCTGTCTCAGCCTGTCAGAGTGCTGGGATTACAGCCATATATTATCATACTCAGCTTTAAGCTTCTTAAATGAGAACTTTTAGAAATAAAAGATTCTGAGAAGAAACTCAAGCTAGCAACATGGACCTTACCCTGAGGAGAGGACTTTTGAAAAGGAATCAGCTCTGATGACGCGGCCATCCACATCCATGGAGAGAAATGTTGGTGCCCTGGGTTTAAAGGGGAAGAAAGTTCTATTGCTTTGTGATCAAACAGTGCTGGTAGTTGAAGGGTTTCTTTGTAGAGAGCAGAGAAGGCATGGCTTTGGGACACAGTACCCAAGGGTGTTCTACATCTGTCTCAACATTTTTCCATGGAAGAAAAACCTAACACGTGTGTTCCTTTACCAGCATTTGCCTATCTTCACAGATTCCTTGTCAAACACAAGGCCTTCCTTATTTGCCCTGGACACCTTTTCTGCGTATTTAGAAAGACTTCTTCGGGCAGGGGAGATAGCTCAGTAGAATAAGCGCTTGCCTGGCAAGCATAGGGACCTGAGTTCAATCCCAGGTTCCAAAAAAAAAAAAAAAAAAAAAAAGACTTTGCCTCTGCCTCTGGGGTTGAAGTTCAGGATTCACTGACTTAGAGGAAAGCCTCAAGTAAACTTAGTGTGGACAGGACCAAACTGAAGAGGGTCAGCAGCCTCAGTTCTTTAAAAAATGTTGATCAAGATGTTCAAAATTTTGTTCAGTCAAACAATGCAGAGAAATCAAGAATTTTTGTTTCTTCTTGGTGAAGGAGAAGGGATGGGTGACTGAATGCAGTTATATGTTCCCTGCAGCTCTGGGAGCAAAGAAACTGCTAGATTTTGATGAAACAGCCGTAGGTAGTCTGTGCCATCTCTACTGTCCATTAGGATAAAGTATTCATGGAAGGCAGCATGTGCGCATAGTGAGGGTGACCCCAAAAGCCCACTATCTTAGGGAAGTTCCAGGCACAAAGGACCCAGAGGCGAATCTGTGGCTACTGCCTGGAATGCTCTCCTCTGGGTCCATAAATGCGCACCATTAACTGAGCCTCTACCTCCCCTGAGCACAGCTGCTCAGCCCTCCTTAGCCACCAACCTCATCATCACAAGACTCAAGAGGACTCCAAGAGAAAGCCTGCTTCAGCATCCTTGGGAGTGCTAAGGGGCTGTGGACCGGGGCGTGGAGTTCAAGACCAGCAGCCTGACTTACTCTGTTGCCTGATCTCATGCTTTAGGGGCCAGCTGCTATTTTGAAATTAAACAATTTCTAGAGCAAGTAGCCCATCCCCAAAATGAAAATTACTAATTCTAAGGTAAAATTGAACTAAAAATAAAAGAGGCAGTAAATTTATAATAGCTCACTTAATTTCAAAGCCATAATGAATTCTACAGTCTGTCTCTCAGTCTGGCTAATCTCATATACAGTGTAACAATTTACAACTTAGGTCTTAATAGTTAGGTAAGGCCACATGATCACTTACCTTGTTGAACTGGAGAAAGTAGTAAGGATCATCTTCTATTATGAAGAAATCATATTCTCTTGCAAGCTAAAATGTTAAAAAATGTATTTGATAAGAGCTACCCAGAATTGAAATTACTTGGAATATATTTATTTGTACTTCTTCGCTCATCATTCAAGAATTTATGGATGTCTCTTATGCCAGACAGATGGAGGCACTAAGGACTTCAATTCTCAGGGAACTTACACCCTAGGCAGAGGGACAGAATGTGCACGAGCTCGCAGATAATGAATTGAAAAACATGGGGAAGAACTTACACTCTAGCCAGAGCATCCCACAAGATCATACTTTATAAAAAGCAATGGTATTTATTCACGTGGACTTCCTGCAAAGCCCTTCTTTACAAGGTAAAGCACAGAATGAAAGGAGGAAGTTGTGCAAATATCAGGGGAAAAGATTCCGAATTGAAGGATGAGTGAGAAGAAAGATTCCAAATGTGAGCAAAGACTTGGCATGTTGAAGGTCCAGAGTGCCCTGCTGGGAGTGGTCTCCTGTGGAGACAAGAGAGAAGTTCTCAGGATGGAAATGAGTGTATTGTGCTGTCTGCAAAGATAGATACAGAATCGGGTCCCTCACTGCAAGTGTCAGCCATGCAGTAGGGGCAGGGGTGACTTAGAAGATGGGGATATGAAAAGTGGAGGAAGAAATGGTTGAATTTGGATAAATTTGTGGTGGGTGGGGAAAGGAGAACAGGGAATGAGAAAAATGAAGGGCAACTGTTCATGAAATTTATAGAGGTCAGTTGTAGAGTTGCAGGGTGAAGAGGTTGTGCATTCGATGTGGGGAAGCTCTGGGAAACCAGGTGCTGTATTCGGGCCAGGCTGATAGCGCCAGTGCTATCAGCCGTCACACGGCGACCTGAAGCATGAAGTGGGACACTGAAGACCGGCATTCAGGAAAGAGGTGGTGCTGTGCAATGCAGGTTCCTTGGGTGTGGAACGGGGCTCTGGCAACTGGAGGAAGCTCTTAAGGAGTGTATAAACAGAGCAGGGAGCCAACGAGAGCACCAGGAGAGTGTAAGAGGTAGTAAAGGAGTATTTTGGACTTTATTCAAAGTAAAAGGAACTGGTTGACAGGTGAAATCCTGCTCATGATTTTATTGCACATGGTTACATCTTATATAGTTTATCATGAGTTTGATACTTATTTTTAAAAAGGCATTTGTAGGAAAAGAGTAAGGAGCATAGATTCAGTATAGAAAAAAGAATTTAGAAAAGACACATATTTCTTTGCAAAGATTTCTGTATGGCTCGATATACATTTGATACTTTGTGAAAATATTTAAGGTGAAAAGCCCCACTTTACAAGTACATAATAGTGATTTCAGAGATGAAGAACATGCCTCTTACTTTTCAAGAATCCTTAGAATGTGAAATAAAAAGGAATAGAAAGCAGAAGAGACAAGGGAGAAGCACAAATACAATAAAAATCAAACTTGAGGTTGAATAATAATTTCATAAAATTTAGCATCATAGTGAGAATGCTTTTTTATTTGTACTAAAATACTAGTTAAGGGAAAAGTAAAAAATCTCACAAACAAAACTAGTACCCAGAAATTATACTATATACAAATTATTATTGCGCTTAGCAGAGATGAGCTCTCTTTATTCAAAATTATCTTCCTTGAAAGCAACAGGGGAGTGGGAAAGGAACTGGACAGGACTCATCTAAAGGAAAGGGGTGGGCACGGGAACCCACCACATGACACATTCTTTGAAATGCCTTGTAGAGCTCCTTCTTGCGGTCACCAGTCAGTGAGTGGCCAGTGGGGTTGTTGCCGTTGGGGACAGTATAGAGAAATTTGGGTGTGTTTTTGGAAGGGTCCTTGGAATCTTCTGGTTTCCATCTGGAAAGGATTTCTTTGAGGGTGTCTGGGATGATCCCAAACTCATCTCTGGGAACATTAATAATGTTACAGCCCATGGGATGTGGCTGAGGAGTACCAAATACAAAAAATTGAAACAAAACAAAATTGAAGCCCAAAATAAGAACAAAAACAATAAGAACAGGGACAATAACAAAAAGTTCAGGAGTTAGACATAAATACAAAGCATAAGGGAAATTTAAAGAAATACTAGCACTGTTACTTTTTTTTCACTGAATTAGAATTTTATTCATATTTGGAAAAGGAGGAATTACGTTATAATCTTAATATTCTGTGGTGTAAATATTACAAACTTTGTCTCTGAATTGGCAATCAAACTCAGGACCTCACTCTTGTCAAGCAGGCACTGTATCACTGAGCTAAATTCCTGGCCTTACAAACATGGTTTTGATAGTTCAAGGAAGAAGGGACAAGGCATAGGCTTAAGCATCTTTTGGAAACATTTTTGATTTGAATTCATGAAAAATATCTGGCAAGCCCATTATACCACAGAAAGAGTTGAAAATTATCCTTAGTTGATTGCCAAAGTCCATATACAATCTGATTATATTTTTATATAGGACTACCTATAAAATGTAATTTTTTTTCAAAACCAATAGAAGAAAATTAAATTTATTCACCTAATATACTCAATTTTTACCATTTCTATAGGCATTTATATGTGTGTTTGTACATTTGTGACCATATGTAATGCTATCTCTATACATGCATACATATTTATATTTTATATATTTACATTTTTTTATTGAGAAACAAATAGCAATGAGACGGTCACAAAACTGATTAATAGGCAGTTACAATAATTAATACATTGTACATTGTTATCTTCTTAGTGGTTATCCATAGTACAAGATGCAGACAGGATATCCTGTCCAAACACTATTAGAACAAATCTTTCTTCTCATTGAATTAAGCAAAAGTAGCTGTATATTTATCCTAACTATTCTGCATATACAGATACAAAGCACTGTTACTACTTATACCCTCGAACACTTGATTTTGCCCAGAACTCCAAGCTCCAGGGGACTGGCATTGTCTATTGTTTCCCTGGGGTAGATTCTATGGAAACTATGTCTTCGAGGTTGTCTGGGATGATCTTTCTCTTTCTTTCTTTCTTTCTTTCTTTCTTTCTTTCTTTCTTTCTTTCTTTCTTTCTTCTTTCTTTCTTTCTTTCTTTCTTTTCTCTCTCTCTCTCTCTCTCTCTCTCTCTCTCTCTCTCTCTCTCTCTCTTTCTTTCTTCCTCTTTGTTTCCTTTCTTTTTTAATTTTAATTCAGACATGGAATTGAACCCAAGGTCTTTTCAGGGAGCTACACCCCAATCCCATTTTCCTTTTAGTTTTTCAACAGCTGTCACTGAGCTGCACACACAGGACTCAAATTTGCAGTCCTTCTGCCTCAACCTCCCAGAGCGCAGGAATAACAGGTATGCACAGCCACGCTGGGCTATGGATTATTTTCCCTTGCTCCATTTGTGTCTGATTTGGCTATAGTTTTTCTCTGGCCAATAAATTGTGAGTAGGGGGATATTTATCTCCAAGAAGATTTAACAATCCAACAGGGGCTATTTTCCTTTGCTCTAAGCTTGGCTCAGCCTCTGTGTAGAGGCTGCTCCTGTCAACATGGGTCTGGGAATGAAGATGTCACAGACTTGAGCAGCAGAGATCTTGTGGCCAGAGATCAGTGTCCTGGTGTAAGCCACCGAGCTATGACAGTCATGCATCACACAATGTCACACAGACTCTTTTAACTGAATTATTCCAATAATTAGCATTAGATCTGGAGGTAAATTTGGGGACCTGAAGCCACAAGCAGTGCCTCACCTCTGGCAGTCAGGTGGGGCTGATGGTTAGAAAGCTCCTACCCTGCGTCGTAATCACTCCTCTGTAGACTCCATCCCATGTTTCTACCAACCCAAAGACATGAAGCAATGAATCTGGTCTTTATTTACATGGCTGCAGTTGGATTTTAAAAGACAAATGTGTGAAGCAGTGGGCTCATTGACGTACACTGCATTTATCTCCTTTAAGATTCTCTTGTTTAAAGATGAAAACTGCTATTTTATGTATCAGTGGACAGATAACTCTAAAGGTGCAGTGTTTTCTTCTATTTACTATAAAAGTTGTCATTTTGAAAAAATGTGTACTTACAGCTTGAGGTATTCCAGAATAAACTGGTTCATTCAGGAGGATATTGTCTCCAGGATTAATTATCCTTTCAAATGCCCAATAGAAGAAACACACATTAACTTGCAGAGTGTCGCTTCATTCTCAGACCCCCATTATTTCGTTTGAGCTTACATGACCCTAGAATACTGGTTTTGCATTTTTTTTTGTAAAGGGCCCAGCAGTAACCATCTTGTGGGTTGTTCTGTCTATTTGCTGCCACCCATTTCAACTTCTAGGTTGAGAAAGTAGCCACAGCCAATATCAAAGTCAATGGGAGTGGCTGAGTTTCAATAAAACTTTATGTACAAATCTAGATGAGAATCTGAGTGACACTCTTAAGTACCAATCCCTGGGAATGCTAATTGGTACAATGATTATAGAAATCAATATGGAGATTCCTCCAAAACTAGATGCTCCATTTGACCCAGCTCTTCCCCTTCTTGGTATCTTCCTGAAAGAATGAAACGCATCACACCACAGAGATGTATTCACATCCATGTTTATAGCAACACAGTTTTTAATAGCTAGTTAGCTCTTAGAAACAGCAAGAAATGCTCATTAACCAGTGAACAGAAAATGAGAATGAAGTTTTTAAGCACAGTGAAATACTATGCAGCCACAAAGGATGGACTTGAGATATTGCTGGGAAATTGATGCTCCTAGATATTATATGCTTTAAAGAAATGGATTGCACACACATGTGTAAATACCACATTGCTTCTCTTGTGTGAGAACATGGCATAAGGACCAAAACATATGATAGATATTGTGAAATAGGAAGAAAAGGTTCAGATGGTGAGGGAAATAGGGAGGCGTGATGGGGAAAGGAAGGAAGAAAAGGCAAAGAAAAAAATGTGAAAAGGAAAACAGGAAACCAAATTTTTGTAAATAAGGAAGCAAAGGGTTACAGAGATAGTTCGTTGGTCTCAGCACCTGCCTAGGCAAGCACAGGGACTGGTGTTGGATCCCTGTTACCTCATCCTGTGCCAGCCCTGCCCCGGGTGCACAAGCTGGCCACCAAGACTGGGTAATGCCTGTAATCCCAGCACTGGGGAGGCTGAAACAGGAGGATCCCTTATGAGTCTGAGCTGCGTAGTGAGGCCCTGTACAAAATACATAAAATTAAAGAAAAGGAAGTGAAAAGGTTAAAGTGAGGGTAGGGAAATGGGACAAAGAGGAATCAAGATACATTATGTGCACACGCAAACTCCCTATAATGAATGTGATCATTATGCATATCAAATGTGAGCCAATTAAATTAATGAAAGAAATGAAAACCAACAGGACACGATTATGGACTCTAGGGGAGTGAGAAGGAGCAGTGGAGAGGAACCCCTAGACCTCTGGCTAGCAAACCCGAGAGATGGAGGAGGTGGTGCCATTTGCTTGGGTGCAGAACCACAAATTCATCCACATCCAAGGTACATTTCACACTCCTGTCTCCAAGTCCTGCTTCCTAACATTGCAACAATCTGCATTTCAACATTAAAAGTAGGACAACTTTCTTCCCCTTGATCTGTGAGTTTCAATTTATCTTTTTTCTTCTGGAGTTTTTGACATTTTTATGAAAAACTGTTTCTCCAAAAAGCTTCCAAGTGACACAGGTTTTCAGGACATCTTACCATCAAAGAAATCACTTGGGTGGCAGGAACGCTACCAATAGACCAAATAACTCTTGACTATGTACATTTCCATTTCAATAAGGGGATGCACATCAAACACTCTACATTAAGAGGGAGAGCTGTTTCTCATCAAAAGATACAGTTAGACATACAAACCTAAAATCATGTGTCTTAGAGAACAAAGTGGAATAAATGTTAAACCAGATTCCTGCAACGGTCCTTGTTTTTTTTGTTTTTTTTTTTTGCGGAACCAGGAATTGAACTCAGGCCCTTGCACTTGCCAGGGAAGTGCTTATTCCACTGAGCCATCTCCCCAGCCCCCAAGGTCCTTGTATTAAGCACATAGATGGTACGTGATGCTGATTTATGTGACCACAGATGCCATACTCTTTCTTTGATACAACTGGTATAATAACAGAGAAGGAAAAAACTGTCTTTGGCATTTTATTGCATGCAGGAAAAAGTTTACAGAATCCTGTTCTAAGAAAATCATTTTATTGAATGAGACAATTAAAAAAATCAGCCCATAGACTCACAAACATTTCCCTTCAAAGAGAAAGAGGGTAGCCAATCCTTCTACTTTTCCTACTTAAATTCCAAAAACAGGAAAAATTTTGCTTTAATTTATAAGAAGTTTTACAAGACATTTTTATTGCAATTCATTGTTGTATAATAATTTAATTCAACCTCATTTAAGGAAATCTGGTGGCATTTTTCACAAATTAGAAAAGAATCCAAAGAGAGCCACTCTGATTTAACATGAATGAAATAAGAGTCATTTTAATTTAGATATGAGGACTGAATACCTGGAATCTTTTTTCCAGGACTAAATTATTCATGAAAAGGAGAAGAAAAATAAGCAAGCAGATGAGCCTGATCAGAAGTGCGTTCTTTCCTGATGAGGTCTCCCCAGTGGTGGTTTCCTGTCCAAGGAGCCCAGCAGGGAGGCAGACGCAATACTGGAAGGAGAGTCGGGAGGGGGATCCGGGAGAGAGAGAGGAAAGAAACTGACCCAGAAAAGTTGGGAACAGATGTATACAAATGGTCCCTGGCTTACAATGGCTCAATATGATTTTTCCACTTTAGGCTGGTGTGAAAGTTATATGCATTTGGGAGAAACTGTACTTAGATTTCTGAACACTGATCTCTTACAGAGCTTGCAATATATGGAATGATAGTCTCATAAAGTGTGAGGCAGCAGCAGCAGTTCTCAGGCCATGCAGTTGTGAAGGCAAACAACAGATACTCTAGAGTGTACTGTGTCACTAAGTTAGTATTTTCAGTAGGGCAGACACATTAAACGCATTTTGGACTTAGTCATATTGTCAACTTAGGGTGGACTTATCAAGAAATAGTCCCATGATAAGTCAAGGGACACCTGTATATGTTGTAGATCTAGAAAAGTACCGCTGGGGAAAGGATGAAATAGAAGCTGTAGTAAGCAGAGACTCTACTCATAGGTATGCAAAGGAATCACAGTTTCATCTCAGACGTGGGAAGATATCTCCCTTAAAGAGTCTAAAAATCGTATTGAAATTGTAACTATTGGTAGAAATCAAATGTTGACTTTCTCTGAGGCAAATGATCTTAAGCAGTGTTACAAAGCTTTTTTAGAACTTCAAGGCTCTCATATATAGAAATCCTAATTTAGTGATCCACAACTCTAAGCCACTAACAAAGGTTGCATATTTAAGAAAAATCAGGCTGGTAAATGCAATGAACAGCATATAATTTTTTGAAGCCTGTCTTTTCTTAATAAGGTAAAGTAAGGGGAAATGTAAATAGATTAAAGTAGTTTTACTTGGTGTGTGTGCAGTCAGGATTCCTCAGTATATGTCTCTGCTATTGTGCCCCCGCCCTTCCCATGCTTTGTCTCAGAGTTTCCTATTTATAATTTCATGTGAGGATAAGAAAGACCATCACTGATGTTCAAAATGCAACCCTTCTGTGGTTAAGTAAGAGACGCCTGTACCTAGGAACATACTCGATTCTGCACCTTGGCTACCTTTCCCTTTCAGTCTTACCTTACAAAGACCATCTTGGCAGCCCGATGTGATACAGAGATCCAGCTGTCCTTGACGAGGTGCGTAATGTGTGGTGGGAGGATTGTGCAATTTTATTTGGAACCATTTGAGCCAGGACACAAGCTCTGGAATTCTAAAGCCACAGATGTATTTGTAAGTTTATAGTAATAACTCTCATTGTGACAGTAGAAGGAGGTAAATGGTAGCTTTAGATCAAACCCATCATATATCCAGTTGAAAACTCTCAAATACTTTTTCCAATATCAATATTCTCATTTAGAAGCTAAAGCAACAGATTTAGTGGTTAGGAAATTCATTGAACTTCAATCATCTGGAAAGAAATACAAAATCATTTATTAATCAGTGAACTGAGATTTGAATCTACATCTTTCTTATTTCAAAGCCTGAATTTATAATTTCTTTCTTTTTTTTTTTTTTGCACTAGAGCATTCACTGCAGACTACAACTTTCACTTTCCTCAGGGAGATTACTGTAGGGTGCCTGGTTCAGGCCCAGTGGGTTTTTAGTATCATGGTAAGAAAACCCTATCTATGTATGACTTTTAATTCTTTTTTTTAATTTATTTATTTATTTATTGATTTTTACATCAGTTATTTTTATTTTAAAGAAGAAAAAAAAATAAAAACAGTGGTACAAAATCTCAAAACAAGATTTTAGGAGAGTAACAATGGTTAGTACATTGTGTGTTGTTATTGCCAAAGTAGTTTCTCATTTTATAAGACATAGGCAAGAATAATAAGCAAATAACATAGGTACAAACCTCTTTTTTTTATAAG